TAAAAAATGCTTCTTCGGCCGACTAAGACACTTATAAATCAAGCACTGAATTCATTGTTTTCCTTAGTACATAATGAGCAATTACACGGTTCAATGTTTACACACTATCTGAATTTTTTGTATACATTTGCAACACAAGAGAAAAGTTCACTATTTGTAATAGTTTTATATTATATTGATACAAAAAAGGTTAATTTTCAATTGAGCAACACAATAATTTATTGTGTTTAGCTCATTACAAGCCCTCAAAAAGATGAAAATCAAAATTGGCTGCTGTTACTTTCATTTAAGATACTGTTACATACCAAAACGTTCTTGTCAAACTTGAGTAAATGATCATAATAAGAGACGAGTTTCGCACTGCTTTGCACTGTATTAAACATGGTGAAAATACCATGAGAAATTGAGGCAAGTTTCAGCACAACAGCACAAAACACAGCCAAGAAGCACCACTTTACAAATACATGACAGAATAGACTGAACTTTTTCAAGGAGGTARTATCAGTATATTTAGTTGCTATCTTTTTGAGAGCAAGTATTACAATATTATATTCCATATATTACTGAAGAACCTCTTGTAAAAAGTGACCATCAAAATGAAAARGTTTTYCACYCTTGCGTGTTTGTGTTATTGAGCTATCAATCATCACACAAACACCATCAATCTTTAAGACAAAATACTTAATGAAAAATGGCACGTAGTCCAGAAAAAAGGTTAAGGTGTTTCTAAAAACAAGGGTATCGCCTATAAACAAAGAMAATTCTGAGGTATTATAATTTAGTGCAGCAGAAGRAACYAAAAAGAAAAACTTACATCAAAAATGGCTGCATGGAGACTTCTTCYTTTTGAAGTTTGATTGGATTTTTTGTTTTCTGYGATCTTAAGGGCAGAGCTTTMGAAAATCATTCAGTCATTAGTTAGTTTGRGGTAACCTCTGCCCTCAAAGTCTAAAAAAAACAGATCCCAACTATTTCTTTTGAGCTTTGAAGTCTAATGCAACAGTTTCTGCTCGCAAAATTACACTTTTTTGGTATTGTAACCATTAATAAGCATGCACAATATGAAGAAAGTAATTACTATGCATGGTCAATCATATTACAAGAGTTTTCCAGTCCAGTACAAATATTTTAGAGGCTGTAGCCTTTACCATTTTTCCTAAAAAGACCAAAAYMACCAATTCTCCCTACAATTTGAAACCTAAAAATGGTAAGCATTATACCRATTGTAGCAGTACCTATTGAAAAGTATCCCATGAATCACTAAAAAAGAAGCTGACTTGAGAMAATTTCCATTTTGATCAGTTACTAATACATTACTAGGCAATAATCAAAGAATTCCGTGAGCAATCCTTGTAAGAYTGAAAATTTTCACCAACAAAAAGTACTTGATGATTTCTTCTTTGATAACCATGGTCTACCGCTTMGCCGAGTGCAACAAATCTGACAGATTCTCACCAGGATGGATTTGTCCAGTGAATTTCAACATGAAAAGACGTTCTAAACTCTTTGTYCCAATGGAGCGCAACTCWGGCAGTCGCAACAAAATGTTGCCAAATCGATTGGAATCCTTAAGTGATTTTGAACGTATGTAGCATTGCAGGGCAGTATGGAATTTATCTTGTAGTTGTTCTATCAATTCTTGATTTTCAAGTCCAACAACATCTATAAAATAGGAATATTTGTTAACTTTCATTCAATGGCAGAATTAAACATAATTTAACATTCTGGGTATTTTTCAAGATGTTGAACTGCCTGTTTTCAGGCCCTTACYAATGTAAAATGCCCCCTCACAGCACTGCTGTGAAAACCATTCCTATTTTTTTCCTGGACATTCACATACCATTCAGTGCCCTGGATTCAGGGGTAGGAGTTTCAACTGACTAGTGCATTAAAATTTACAAAATATAATTTGAATTGAAATGACTTTTTACCTGGATTTAAAAGAACAATGATTTTCATACACACAAATTCCACATTGTCCATATCAAATTCTCGGAAATTTGCAGCCATTTGTGTGACCCGCTGCATAATGTCACCAATTCCTGTCGTCTGCGCCGTGTCAAAGTCCAAGATTTGCTTTCTGCAGAGCATTGCTCTGTTATCAAGATCCTGTGACTCCCTGATCAGATTTGCCAGCATTAGCTCCACCCAGGAATTCTTAATAAGAAGATCTCGATCATTTTTGGATACATCCGATAATAGAGGCAGTTGTTCAAACCATTTTTCACTACGTATGACCTGGAGCTCTGCTAGTTGAGTTACATGAGCTAAAGTCTTTTCTTTTATCTCTGTCTCTTTGCATCCCACGCAAGTTTCTTCATTAAATTCATTAGTGAAATCACAGTTTACTACTTGTTCAATTACTGCGGGTAAAATGTTTGATGCAGATGCCTTGGGAGGTTCAGGAGATGTCAAAGATGAACTTCTTCTTGGCTGCTTGCACGGAACAGGCTCTGTCTTGGGGATGGTTGGAGAACTAATGGAATTCTTGTGTCMGCCACCTGGGGCTCTATCTTCTCGAACAGCTGTGAATTATAGTGAAACCTATAATCACTATAAATATCTTAAACAAACATTTCCATATTCATTAATAATTCAAAGGGAAAAAACAATAGAAAATAATTGCCGTGAATGCATTTTTAAATGTTGAGCAAGAGATTTGTCCTTATTTGCAAAGACTTTGACTTCAATTTGCTCTTCATGAATCTAAGCAAAATGGTAATAGGCATATAAATGATGGACAGAAGGACTGGGGAAGGAAAAAGAATTGCAAATGAGCAAAAAAAAGTCAAGTTACCTTCTTTAATCATGCCAGCATTCAAACACTTTTGAAACCTGCAGTACTGACACCTGTTTCTATGTCTCTTGTCCATTGGACAGTCCTTTGTCAAGTTCCGACATGTATAAACCTTCTTATTTTGAACACTCCTCTTAAAAAATCCTTTACAACCCTCGCAGCTTGACACACCATAATGGTGTCCTGTRGCTTTATCGCCGCAAATCCCGCAAATGTCATTAATTTGTGATGAACCTACTGAAGGGGACTGTGGCGAATTGACCATCTTTTGCCCTGGMGAAGACACTGATGATAATGGAGTAGCAGGAGGGCTTATATCATTGTATTCCATCGATGATTCCTCTGGCTTGACAATAAGCTCCTCTGGACTCCCTACAGAGCTTCTAGAATGCCTGGARACCTCTCCTTCAGAAAYCTCCGAGTCATTTGAGGACTTTCTCTTMCGYTGAGATAGTTGGACMACYCTTGGTCTTGATGAATTACCCTGCATTGGCATTAAAGGAGGCATGCCTCCCACATAGCCTCCTCGAGGAGGTGCAATYGCAAGATGGGAAGGGGGTATGTAGTGTGTAGAGTAAAATACACTMGCTTGAGTAAGGCAAGGCGCAGATAGGCTTGTATAAACTTGTTGCCCTGCATGAAATGGTATCATTCTGGGCTGAAAAAGTAGCGATTGTCTAGTTGGTGAAACCAAAGCAATCGGACGTGGATAGACCTTAGTGTCTGGTGAATTAGAGGCATCTACTGGATTATCTAAGAGACAAATAATTGATATTATTATTAGATGAAACAAAAGAACTGTGTAAACACAAATTATTGCCGAGACTCTCTTTTTATACATGTACATCATGCTGTTTATCTCAACATTTTTTAATTAGTAATAATTTGCTTCACAAGTTAAAGCTTGTTGTTTGCATTACATTTCTTTATGATTACTTTTCCCAAGTGAAGCTTCAAATTCATAAGTTAATTAATACAGGAAAGAAAAAAATGAAACAGCTGGCTAAGATCCAAAGACATACATTGTAACAACACTTTTAACTTTGAA